TAACCTGGTATTTGGCTCTGTGTTTCTTATTTAATGAGACCGTTTAGAATTTCATCTACAGAGTTTTATTTGGTGGGAGGAAGAGAAAGGGAAAGGGAGAGAGAGAGAGAGAGAGAGAGAGAGAGAGAGAGAGAGAGAGAGAGAGAGAGAGAGAGAGAGAGAAGACAGAGAGCGAAGTGGGGAGGAGTCTTTTCTTAAAGGGAACAGGAACTTAGGATGACATCAGGACACTGGGCAGATCAGGGTATTATCTGCTTATTGGCCAGGATTCTAAGAAATGGGTCTGGATGCTAACAAGGTGGTCCCACAGAACTTGGGCAGTGAGCAAAACGGGTGACCCCCAGCCTGCACTCCTCTCTCCCTTCCCGTCCTTTGGCCAACATTCCAGCCTCCCTGTCCCACCCCACACATAATGACACCCTAATTTCAGCTAAGAAGCAGTTACAGAAGGTATTGGTTGCCCTTATCAACACAAAGGCTGGAATATCAAGTCACAAGGAAACCTAGGACAAATGGCTAACTGTGGTATCTATTAGCACATCAGAGATTACCCTTGGCCCTAGGCCCACTCGGTGCCAGTGGCTCCTCTCAGCACTTCCCCCCCCCCCCCCCACTCTAAACCTCCCCAGGTGCTTCCTTTCCCTTCCCCCAGCTCCTCTTTCCTATATAATGCTGCCATATCAGCCTTGAGCTCTCTTGGTTCTTCCTGTTAGGGTCTGTGAGATGTCCCACAAAAGACCACCCGTCACGATGCAATCAACAAGAACATTTATTACCAACATATTGGGGTCAAACCATCTGACAAAGTGACAAAAATGGTGACCCGAGACAAGCTCACAGGCTCCTTTTAAGCTCAGCTGAAGGAATTCTAAAAGCATTATGATTATTGGTTAGGGCTAGCAGGGGTGGGCTAAGGCTAGAGCTTTTCCATTCTTGGGCAAGTCTGGACAAATCCCAGGCCTTGTTCTTATTTGGTTATTGCCTTGAGGTACCTGGGGGGCTGGGGAGTTGGCCCAGCGAATGTGCTCTTCTCCTCATCCACTGTCAGGGGCGTTGGTGATTGATTGCCCTTTGTTTGTGAGCTGAGGCCTGGTTCTCAACTGAGCTGTTAGGGGCCTGTGATGATGTTTGCCTGGTTCTCTCACTTCTCTTTGTCCTTTTGGGTCCTCTGCTCTCACTCCTGGTCTCCTGTCTTGCTCCTCATCTTCTCTCCCTCCATCCCCACCCAGTCTTCTCTGTTGGCCATGTTCAATTCACTACTTTCTCCCTCTGCTCTAGACTCTTCTAAATACCTCTGGCTGAATTTTCTCTCGTATGTATAATAAAACCTTCTCTTCAACCATACCTCGGAACTGTCATGCCCTCATTTGAATTCAGGAGGCAGAGGTAGGCAGATCTCTGTGATTTCAAGGCCAGCCTGGCCTGTCTACATATCCAGTTCCAGGACTGGTGTCAAAGTAAATTAGTAATTATAATAATAATAATAATAAATTTAAGAAGCCTTTGAATAGAGCATTTCACTTGATCACACAGTACTAAACCCATCTTCTTCTGCTTAGAATATTTTAAGATAGGAAACAAATATTAAATAAAAATTACAGGAGGCTACTATTTGGGCTGAAACCCACCTGTACTGGGTCTTAACTGATTCAGAAAATCTAAGTAGTGTCCTTCAAGCTGTAGTGACTGCTTACAAATAGAGCTCCTTATCTGAGAAATCAACCAGATACCTGAATTTCCCCATACAGACTCACTTTAATTGGCAGGATAATGAATCACACCTTTGCCCCAATCTGGCCCTAATCTCTCCCAAGAAGGCAACACCTGAAAAGAAGTGACGTCATCAGTTTCTCCCTGCCCAGGGCGGACAGGGAGAATCAGTTCTTTGTCTCCCTTCTGTCTTCTGCACCCCTTTACTGTCCATAACAGCCAAGCCGTTCTGCTCTCCGGGGTCTCCTTCCAGTTTACTGGATGAAGCGTGCTCCTTTGCCAAGAGCATAAGACCAACCCAGAGTAGACTTAGTGTGATTAAGGCCGTTGACACAGGTTTACCCAAAGTTCCGTCAGAGCACCTTGGACCTCGGAGGCATCAGGGAGGTGCTTACTTGCAGGAGCTGGTGAATGATTGTATATCAAACTCATCAAGGCAAAGCACATCCTAAACCCAAACAGCTAAATCGCCTTTTCCAGCTCAAGAGTTGTTGTGGCTCCTTTTCGATTCCTTTGGGCCCAGCCACATCTCCAAACGAGAATCCAGACAACCTGTCTGACCACAGCTGGGCTCAAGCAGGAGAATGTTCTGGAACTGGTTTTGCTGTTGTTAGGCAAGAGTTTTAATCTGATATTGTTAAGGTAGCTGGGCATGGATGCTCATTCATCCTGCTTTTTAAAAATTTGTTTATTTAAGAAGAAAACAGGCTTACCACAAAAATGCTGTCTGTGTATTACCAATGTTTAGGGATTTAGTCATGATTCTGGGAATGAATATTTAGATCTCAGAGCAGAACATATAGTGGGTTTTTTTTGTTTTTGTTTGTTTGTTTTGTGTGTGTTGTTATTTGATTGTTTTTGTTTTGTTGTGTTTTGGTTTTTGAGACAAAGTCTTGCTATGTGGTCCTGGCTTGCCTCAAACCTGTGGTGATTCTCCTGCCTCAGGCCTGGTACACTTGTAATGCCAGCACTCAAGAGGCAGGAGGATCAGGAGTTCAAGGCCAGCTTCAGCTGCATGAGTCAAGAAAGAAAGAAAAGCAGGAAGGGAGCGAGGGAGGGGCAGATGGGGGTCACTGTAAATCACAGCAGTAAATATCAACACGGCTCTGCCCTCCATTAACCCTCATAGTGTATCTGAAAGGATAAATAAAAAAGAAAGGCAAAGTGGGAACCTTTCATTGGGCCCTGCCAGGGTATGCACTAAACAAACACGCCACGCACAACAGAGTTAGTGCAAGAGGTTTATTGGTGGTGTGGTGTGTGTGTGTGTGTGTGTGTGTGTGTGTGTGTGTGTGTGTGTGTAAGGCCATGTTGGAGTGGGGACATGAGAGAGGCAGACAGACAGAGACCAGAGGAAGAAGAGAGGCGAGGGAGGAAAGAGGAGGTAAGAGAGGAAAAGAGGGATAAAGGAAGAGGAGAAAAGAGAGCGAGCTGTGCCTGGCAGGCACTTTTAAAGGGTGCCCATGTGGACGGTGGAAAGGCACCCGGTGACAGGTAACCATGTAACTGTTTTGGTGGCAGAGGCAGGCTGCTGCTCTGGTGGATACTAACAGTACTGTTCCCTTTCCTAGCTTGCTGATCTTTGAACAAGTTCTCAAACATTCTAACAAGATTCCTTTCTGCCACAGGACCTTTGCACAGGCTTCCTCACCCTCCCACTCCGACTTCTCCATTCCTTCATCTAAGCAAACATTGTTTTCACCTCAGTTGTAACACAGGTTCTTCACAGGTGTTTTTGTTGGCCTCTGCAGAGGACATGAAATGCCCCAGTTATATATATCCCTAGCCCCTTATTTTCTAAATAGCATATTCTGTAATCATAATTGCATACCTTCAGCTGGGCAGCTACTTCATTTCTCTCAAGGAGAGCATTTTTCATATGCTCATGGGGCCATCTTCATGGATTTTAACATGGATCTTTTGTCTGATGCTTTCTTCACATTAAACACTATTCTAGGAAACTCTGACCCAGGAAGAGAAAAGTTGTGAATAACTTTATTGTTGATTCCAGGGACTTCCAGGAAGACCCACCAACTCTTCAAAATAAGGTATCAAGATGACAATTTGTTTAACAAGATTCTTGGAATCTCCTCATTCAGCTTCTGCCCAGTCCTACCAGTCCACAAGCGACCTTCAGAAAATGTTAACCAAGGCTTCTCTGGCCTCTCTCTCTCTCTCTCTCCCCCTCTCCCTCTGTCTCTGTCTCCCCCCCCCCCCGTGTGTGTGTGTGTGTGTGTGTGTGTGTGTGTGTGTGTGTGTGTGTGTGTGTTATGCTTTCCCTTGTAGCACAGGCTAGCCTTACACTGACTATGAGGCCAGGCTGGTCTATAGCTCACCATGATCCTTCTACCTCCACTTTCCAAGCACTGAGATTAGAAGCATGCATTATCATGCCTGCCTTCTCTACCCTCATTAGAACACTTACTTACCTTAAACTCTAGTTTTGAAGAATAGTCCAATCTTGCCTATACCTGCTGAGCTGCTGCAAAGACTGTCTAGACAATGTTCTGTCTTGACACATAAGCAATAAACTGAATTCTGTCCAACAAGCTGCTTTGGTGACGTCTAAGGAACTAACTTTCTTTGTCTTTTGATGCAGGTCTAACTAGGTTTCCCTGGCTGTCCTGGAATTCACTCTGTAGACCAGATTGGCCTTGAACTCACCTGCCTTTGCCTCCCAAGTACTAGGATTAAGGCACACACCATCACACATG